CGCTCCCTCCCGTCTCGCTCTCTTTCTCTCCCTCTCCTCCCGGAGCACAATGAAAGCCTGTGTATCGCCGTGACTCCCGGGCAGCGGAGCCAGTGTCAGCAAAGCGGCGAACAACAGACGGGAGAAGAGAAAGGAAAATACAAGCTACTTTTTTTTCTTTCTTTCTTTCTTTCTTTTTTTTTTTTTCCATCTATAAAGCGGAGCACTACAAGAGAGAGAACCACATTGCTTATTGCGAGTCCAGACCCTCAGGTCCCCTGGCCGGGATGGAATGTACAAAAGTGGACAGGAAAGTGGCTGGACATGACTCGGTGCAATTTGCTGGAAGTTTGTAAGTGTGACCATCGTCTGTGAATTACTCTCGGGAGAGCGGGTCTCCCGATGCCGCGTTAGAGCAGCGCCGGGTGAGGGACGAGCCGCGAGCGGGGCGGGGGTGCTGAGGGACCGCTCGGTGGCCGGCGACCTCAGGCGCCTTTCCTTTAGGACTAGGAGCCTTAGGGGGACTCAGGATCCTGCCGGCGACTGGATTAGTCGGGGAGAAAAGCATGGTCCCAAAGTCCAGCGACTGACATTGTTAGCAATCGAAAAGCCGCCTGTCTCTCTCTTTTGGGGAGAAGACACCCCCTGTCCCCCAAAGAGGAGGGCGCGCCGGAGCGAAGGGGAAGGGGAGAGAAATGAAAAGCCAACAGACAGCCTCTCCTGATTGTTGCCTGGTTTGAACACTGACTTCAAAAACCTTCTGAAACAGCATTTTTTTTTTTTTTTTTTTTTAAAAACCTGAGGAAAAGTAAAGGCTGCGGGTCACCCAGAGCACGGTAGAAATGCGTTTCTCTGCAGAAGCCTCCCCGTAAAGAGTTGTGGGAAGCCGCTGTAGGTGAGGGGAGCCCAGGTCTCCGCTGAGACCTCTCAGCCCCCTTGGCCGGCCCTTTCGGCCCCGGGCTTCACAATCCCCGGATTCCTGAGCTCGCCCCAGATTTGTGTGGTGACAAAGTAGCTGGTGGCTCTTGTCAGCTTGGTGCGGGGAAGCCCCGCCAACTCCGTCCAACTTCTCCAGAGCTGTCAAATGCGATGAGGGTGAGTCGACCAGGGTTCCTCTAACCAAGTCAGCCTCTGCCATTGGCTTCCATCCTCCCTCATCTTTTCACTAACGCCCCTCCCCCGCACCTCCTCCGCTGCTCCCCCCCACCTCTGAAGACCTCTATTCATGTGGCCCTGAACACTGAGCTCACATTGTCAAGAACGGATCTGCCTGCCCTAGGAGCAGTAGCCTCCTTCCACCTCACCATCCCAGAGGCAGCAATCATTGTGTCCACTAAGATGGGGGACACAGCGCCCCCGCAGGCTCCCACAGGAGGGCTAGGGGGGGCCCCTGGGGCGGGGCTCCTTGGAGGGGGCTCAGTCACCCCAAGAGTGCACAGTGCCATCGTGGAGCGCCTCCGGGCTCGGATCGCCGTCTGTCGCCAGCACCACCTGAGCTGTGAAGGGCGCTATGAACGTGGCCGAGCCGAGAGCTCAGACCGGGAAAGAGAGAGCACCTTGCAGCTCCTGAGCCTTGTCCAGCATGGCCAGGGCGCAAGGAAGACTGGCAAACACACCAAGGCCACCGCAGCGGCTGCCACCACCACAGCCCCTCCGCCGCCCCCTGCCGCTCCTCCTACAGCCTCCCAAGCAGCAGTGACAGCAGCCCCGCCACCCCCACCAGACTATCACCATCACCACCAGCAGCACCTGCTGAACAGTAGCAATAATGGTGGCGGCGGTGGGATCGATGGGGAGCAGCAACCACCAGCGTCAACCCCGGGGGACCAGAGGAACTCAGCCCTGATTGCGGTAAGGCACCAGATTTTCTCATGATTCTGTCTGTGGTCGTGTGGCCGCCTGTGAGGGGAGAGCTTGCGGTGGCCTGGTTGTGGAGTGGACAGCGGTGAAAATGGCCCAGGGGGTCACCTGACTGCCTCGAANGGAAAAGTAAAGGCTGCGGGTCACCCAGAGCACGGTAGAAATGCGTTTCTCTGCAGAAGCCTCCCCGTAAAGAGTTGTGGGAAGCCGCTGTAGGTGAGGGGAGCCCAGGTCTCCGCTGAGACCTCTCAGCCCCCTTGGCCGGCCCTTTCGGCCCCGGGCTTCACAATCCCCGGATTCCTGAGCTCGCCCCAGATTTGTGTGGTGACAAAGTAGCTGGTGGCTCTTGTCAGCTTGGTGCGGGGAAGCCCCGCCAACTCCGTCCAACTTCTCCAGAGCTGTCAAATGCGATGAGGGTGAGTCGACCAGGGTTCCTCTAACCAAGTCAGCCTCTGCCATTGGCTTCCATCCTCCCTCATCTTTTCACTAACGCCCCTCCCCCGCACCTCCTCCGCTGCTCCCCCCCACCTCTGAAGACCTCTATTCATGTGGCCCTGAACACTGAGCTCACATTGTCAAGAACGGATCTGCCTGCCCTAGGAGCAGTAGCCTCCTTCCACCTCACCATCCCAGAGGCAGCAATCATTGTGTCCACTAAGATGGGGGACACAGCGCCCCCGCAGGCTCCCACAGGAGGGCTAGGGGGGGCCCCTGGGGCGGGGCTCCTTGGAGGGGGCTCAGTCACCCCAAGAGTGCACAGTGCCATCGTGGAGCGCCTCCGGGCTCGGATCGCCGTCTGTCGCCAGCACCACCTGAGCTGTGAAGGGCGCTATGAACGTGGCCGAGCCGAGAGCTCAGACCGGGAAAGAGAGAGCACCTTGCAGCTCCTGAGCCTTGTCCAGCATGGCCAGGGCGCAAGGAAGACTGGCAAACACACCAAGGCCACCGCAGCGGCTGCCACCACCACAGCCCCTCCGCCGCCCCCTGCCGCTCCTCCTACAGCCTCCCAAGCAGCAGTGACAGCAGCCCCGCCACCCCCACCAGACTATCACCATCACCACCAGCAGCACCTGCTGAACAGTAGCAATAATGGTGGCGGCGGTGGGATCGATGGGGAGCAGCAACCACCAGCGTCAACCCCGGGGGACCAGAGGAACTCAGCCCTGATTGCGGTAAGGCACCAGATTTTCTCATGATTCTGTCTGTGGTCGTGTGGCCGCCTGTGAGGGGAGAGCTTGCGGTGGCCTGGTTGTGGAGTGGACAGCGGTGAAAATGGCCCAGGGGGTCACCTGACTGCCTCGAAGGCCACTGGGTGTGCTATTTGTGTGGTTTATGCTCTTACTCATCAAGCTCTGCGAGCGCCCCTTCTCGGGCGTCCCTCCACGTGTAGGGTGTCCCTCAAGTGGTGAGAAGCCTGAGTTTTCCAGTGGCGCTCTGAGGGCCACAGCTTGGAGAAGAGGTGGCTACAGTCTGGCAAGGTCTGAGCCCCCGGAGGAAGGCCAGGTCTCAGGGATGCTCCAGCTTTGGCTAGTCAGCTCTAATTAGGCCCCACAAGCCCTTCCTCAGTCTGAAAACATTTACCAGTCGAACCGACCTTCATCAGAGCCTTTTCCTTCTTGTCCCATTTCCCCTCCCGCCTTTGAAGAGGCCCCTTCGCTGCTTCGGGTTAAGAGAATCCAAGTGGTGATCTGCAACACAGGAGTTCCCTGAGTGTCCCTTTGGTAAAAAAATTTGGAGGGAAAGATCCAGACTAGTGAGGGAATGTTTTGAAGAGGCCTACTCCCTGATCTCCTATAGCCTCCCCAGGCCCCTCTCCCATCTAGCTTATTTCCATAGGCACTGCAGTCCGCGTTCATTAAAGTAGGCAGGCACACGGCGCCTATGGACAAGCTATCATCCTGGGAAGTGCCTTGTCTTCAGCCACTTCTGGTGACAGGACATCAAACCTGAAAGTTCTGATCAGGTTCCTGACGGGAAGTTCTTCCTCAGAGGCACCGGCACACCCCATCCCAGAGGGAGTATCCCTTGACTCATTGGTTCTTGCTGCCAGTCCTGGTCAGGTGACTGCCTGCCATGTGCTGGCTTCCCCCGAAGCTGCTACGGGGCCGCGGCCTCTGGGGAGAAGGTGGAGGCCTGCCCTGCAGCCCCGCAGCCCTGCCCACTTCCTCCATCTCTGAGTTCTGTGGGGCTCCTGAGGTCCTGTGTCTGCTCACAGCACAGCTCCACTTTGCCCAAGTCAGCCCTACTGAAAGTCAGCAACAGGAAATAGCCAGGCAAGATGAAAAGTGCTCAAAAAGCCCAAAGGAAGGAGGGCACTGCCTCGAACTTCTGCAAAGGAGTTTGAAAAGGAGCTCGAGACGGGGGACACCCTGCAGACAGGCCCACAGGATGCTTCTTGGTGGCTCCCCCCCACCCTTGTCCCTGGCCTCAGTCTGTGGGGATGCGGTTTCCAGAAACTCTGGGGACTAGGAAGGTGCCCGCCCCCCCCCACACACACACTTTTTGCTTGGGATGCCTAGGACTGCAACTTCCTGGCGCCGACTCCAGATGAAAAAGAACTGCTGGCAGTTGAACTGCCCAGTGTTTGCTGTTTTATCCCCGCGTAAAATTGGTTTGTGGGGTTATAGAAGAGCTTCAAGGACTGATTTCCTTTCCCTATCACCTGCTCTGTCCTCACCTCTCCCTGGAATTCCCTCCGAGAGAGCTAAGGGAGTTTGTTTTGGGAAGGGGAGATGCTGAGGTGAAGGAGGGATAAAGAATCTCTCGGATGGCGAGGAGAATGAGGTTTGTGTGCATGTGTGTGTCACCAGCATCTGCAGCCAAAAGTATCTAAATGCCTTGATTGTCCCCAGTAAATTTATAATCTGCCTGCAAGTCTCCCAATAATACGGCTTTGTGTGCTTCCCAGTCTCCTGGTAAGTGTTTCTGGGGATGATACAGGGAACGAGGCACCCAGCCCTTCTCGGTAGAGAAGACCGATCTCCGTTCTAGGTGCCAAGACTGGATGTGCTGTTCACATCCCAGCCTCTGCAAGGAAGGTGGCACGTCTGCTCAGGGCCTTGGTCTTTTGGTTTTTGCGTTTCTCCAACTTGAAAGTAAGATGAGGCTGCCCCCCCTTTTTTTTTCACTTGGGGGTTTTGGGATGTGGAATGAAACCGACTTCAGCAGTTATTGTGACTTTATGATTAGCAATATCCACGCCGGGAGGAAGTGAGGGAACAGGGCCTGGCCTTTCCTGGCTGAAGGCTTTACTGCTGCAGAACCCCGAGGTGGCTGCTATACCACTCCCGGTCTAAGCCGGAATCTGTTCTCTCTCCTAACCACCAACCATTGCCTAGAACAGTCCCTCAGGGGTCCGCCCTCTCTGGGTGCAGTGATGATGAGAGGGGCTAAACAACGTGTGAGTTAGGGCTAAACAACGCAGTTCAATTCTAACAGTTGTTTGTCATTGAAAACGTGTGGCATTGCAAGGGGTGATCCGCCACCCACTTTTTGGTTATTGGAAATTCCCTTCTCCATTTTAGCTTCTAAATTTGGTGCTTTGTTACTCAGCATGGCACTCAGAGATGGTGATGCAAATACTGTATTAGCCTGATAACATTGTGTGCGAAGGGAGGCCTGGGCATTTGGGAGTGATTCACCAAGCCCATTAGACCTGCAGGTCTCACTTCACTCAGGCTCCTCTCATTTTCCAAAACACTATTCATTTAAAGGGGCCTTTTGCACAGAATGAGTGTCAGAATTCTTTCTTAATTGTATTGCTGTTGTGTCCATAACCAGATTTATTTCTGTCTCGGTGTGTTGACTGTATCACTTTAATAGTTAATTCACATGCCATAAGTGACCATAAACACCCTTTGGAGAAAGGCGGAGAATATTGATCATCTCAAGTCAAATATGCACCGTGTCCTCAGCTGAAAGCTCTGTATCCTGCCTACCTGCGAGCACAATGCCTTGTATATTGTCAGTAACAATTGAATGAGGGTGAAAGGGGAACTTCTGTCCCATGGGATAGTGTTGACTTTGAGGGGTGTTATACTGTAAGAAATATGCAATGTCTGAGTTTTTCAATAGGCTAAGATGCAAGAACAATCCAAGAACAACCCCCAAGCCAGTTCTAATTCTGTCCACACTGAGAGCCTAATTCTGCAACCCTTACTCAGCCAGGTTCTTCATTTAGCTCAAGTACAAGTTCAGGGGAAGCCCCATTGCTGCAGGGACTGCAGGAACAGGGCCTTTTTAGAGGGCCCGGGCTGTAGGGCTTTGAGCAGATCTGCATTTCTAACCACTTGGAGCAGGCTTTAGGCACTACATCATCTTCTGGGGAAGTATGTTTGAATCTCTGAATGAACTGTAAAACTGAATAATTGCTGGTCCACAGAACAGGACGGTTTAGAGCTTCCGTGGTGCATTATCAATCTTTCCCTTTTGCCTGAGACAAGCTCTTTTTCTGTTGCATACACTGTTGCTAGGATGGGTAGATAAGTGGTTCCAAGTCATCTTTGGCTTTAGAGATTATCTTTTCTTTAATGCAGTGTGGAGGAAAGAAAGCAGATCAGACAAGGAGTCTGCATCCTCCGTTCTGTGCCCGCTTGATCACTACCAGCTGGGCGACCCAGGACACGTTACTTAGCAGTCATCTGTAAAGCAGGGAGAGCAATAACACTGCCCTATGTTGTTAAGAGGAGCCAGTGAATGTATGTTTCCGAACAGGCTTTGGAAAAAATCAAGCACTGCAGAAATGCAAGGCATTATTGCTAGTATTTCTAATAATAAACTACTAAACAACAAATCATAATACCAGTTTTTCCAGGGATTAAAAGGGCCCTTAAGCTTTCAGTTGTCTGTTTGAAATGGTGAAATAGCTTTTATTGTAAATAGAGGGATTGGTGTTTCAAATTCAGTGCTGTCAAGATAAGACTGAGATATCAGTGTACTTAAGTGTTCCTGAAGGTCCCAGAAAACCCCAGTTAACTTGGGCGATGCTGTGAAAGTGTTTAGGGCCTCGGAATGCATGGCTTTTACAGGCCCCTGTGGGACCTGAGCAGCCTCGGAAAGGTGTGTCCACCAAGGCGTCTAAGGAGTATTAGAAAAGTCGTTTGCACAAATGGCATGGGAAAGTTAAATATTTTGTCAACAATAGTCTAAAATGTTAATTGTTAGCTTAAGAAAGTCAAACAAGTTAAATCATTGCCAGAGTTCCCTGGTTATTTTTAACTGATAAAAATCAAGTTTCCAATTGACAGCTCAAAATTTGAAAGCTGTAAATAGGGGGCTGAGAACAGGAATAGTTTATTGGCCAGATGTCGGTTTCTGTAGCTGTCTGTGTGATAAATGTCCTCCCCAGGACAGTGATAGGAGTGTTTACATTATTTATATATGCAGCCATCATTTCCTTAAGAACTGACCTATTTTTGTTCTGTTTTCCAGAACAGAGTAATAAAGGGAGAGTCCTTATCTCTCCAGGACCGTCCTACTACTTCTTTCAAGTAAATACAGTTATAAGATCTCACTAAGGCAAAAGAATTCAAGTGGAGAGAGAAGTCGATACAATCCTTTATCAGAAATTGACAGAAAGCTCACTTTGACAGTAAAGCGATGTTTTTTTATGTCAACCAAGGTGTCTTGCTTGTTTAGGTCAGTGTTTATCTATAGAAATCATCTACTTTCTTTGAAATAATGTCATTGCTAGGTGATGTTCATCAGATTTTTCTGAGCGTTAAAGTTTAATACTATATAGCTTCCCTCTGCCTGTCTACCTTTTGGAAGTACGAAGACAAGCTATGGCTTTTCAAATGTTCTTGGACATAACAATTAAGCATGACTAAATGAGTAGCTATAATTAGCTGTTTTTGTTTTTATTGATGTGTGTGTTTATCACTGCAGTTTAATCTCAAAAAGCGTAGAAAGAAATTTGGGGAAAAAAAGTTCTGCTCTGCATGGCAGCTAAATCATCCTGAGTGGATTCTACTACTTCCTGGTTCTTTAATCCAGGCCCTTACGTACGTTCATAGGCAGGGTCATGTTTAAGGAAAACAATCCTAACTTCTTCCTTCTGCATTTCCATGCTAACTTCCCTCACTCTAACAGGCTCTGTTGGAAAATAGAAATACAGCTAAAGACATAGTCCCTGCCTATTTAGAGTCTAGTAGGCTAATCAAGACCACATCCA